AGGACCCTATTTAGATACTTGCTCCACTGTAGCAAAACAAGGACAGAACATTAGCAGGAGCTAATGGAGGATTGGCTCCCAGGAGGGGTTATGTGAGGCTAGCAAAGCTCCTGGCTCTTGATTGCTCAGGTTGTTTAAACAATCTGCTCTGACTCCGATTAAGTCAGGAAATTGAATGGTTATAACTTAATAAGTAAGGCTGCATGCTAGTACTATTTGACGTGTAATTATTTACTTATTTACTAGACGGGGGTTACATTAAAGCCTATTATTTTTCCAATTTACTCACAACTAAAAATCTGTTATGTTGTTATGTTGTTTACATTTTATATTTTATGGTATACTGATTTTTTTAGCTTCAAAATCATATCTTTAACACAGGACAAAGTGATTTTAAAATTATTTATTTAAATAAATAAATAAATATTGAACAATATGGAGACCACAACATTTGTATTTATATACTACATCTTATTAATTTATGGATGTATTCATACAATAGGAAATAGTTCCTCGAGCATTTTATCCCAGCAGGGGCATTTAACCCTGTATTCTCCCCTGTTCCTCTGCTAAGCAGTTGGTGGAGACACATGGAGAAAACAACATGCAGGGCTGAAGTTGGTATAGACAGGATGGATCTTCTTCACTGAAAAGCATTGAATCGACAGTTTATTTTGTGGCCACAGAAGTTTTCTTGGGCAAAAACGACATTATGCAAACTTTCTAGTTGTTCCAATGTCGTTGATGATTTTTGAATTTCATCACATTATCGTTTTAGATTAATGATTTTTTGGTTAGGTTTTATGTAAAAGACCCACACATGACTTTAGATTTTATTTATTCATTTTTTTTTTACATTTGTTTGAATCCTCTCAGTCAGTACTTTCTGAATAAGTAAAGCTCAGATTTGATACATCAATATTTACTTTTTGCCAGAGATTCTCAATTCAATTTATGTCTGGACTTGGACTGGGACATTATGGCACATACTCTTTGGTCAAAACTATTTCTACTGTAGCTCTTCTTGTCACTTTCCTGTTAAGACCAGATTGTTGGAGTATACGACTAACAGTTTTCCTTTAACAAAACAAACATTGGATTTTTGTGTTTAACGCTCTATTTGCCCAGCCTGTCAGATTTGGTGACTGGTCAGTTATTGATGTATTTGCAGTGGTGTTAAACTCTTTCCATTTGAACAGTGCTTCATGAGTTTTTCAAAGCCTGGACTGTAGATTTATAAACAAACTTTATTTTTGTGTTCCTTAGCCTATTTGTTTTCTGATGCTCTTTAAGAAGCCTCTGAAGCATTAACAGATTTGTTTTTTCGCATTATTTCCGCAAAAAAATTAAATCATAATCCTGTTTTGCTTCCCTCCCATTTCATATTTAAGCACTGCTTTCTGTTTGGTCTTTCATTAAATCCCCATAAAATCAACCATAATGTGCAGTTGCAACCTGGCAAACCATGAAAAGGTTTTATGGATTGGTGTCTTCTTCATAGTAAAAGGTAAAAAGGTGTGGGGACCTCCTGGCCTGTAATCCCCTCTGCTATAACAGGATGCTTAAGCTTCCTCGAGGAGAAAGCTATTTGTTGGACAATAACATTCTACCCTTAACATGGACTTGAATTTTAACCTAAAACATGCTGCAGACCATGTCTGCAGCATGTTATTTTTTTTCTCTGCTCACTTCGTCTATCTTTTCTCCACATGTCAGAGTGGTGTTGATAGCAATCTGTCCGGTTGTAGCTCAGGTGTTCAGCTCAGGCATCTTACCTGCCAACATCTCACTCTCCCTCATGGGCTTGGTAGGATTGGCCCACGTGAAATGATCAGCGTTGGGATTTGCAGGTTAAGGATGCTTAAAGCAGGGGTTTTAACGTCCTGACGTCACGTTAATTAGTGGCCAATTTGATCCTTTCAGCCTCTAAGCTGCACTCTCCCCTGTACTGTCTGCCGGTGGATACGGGATGCGTCCACGGAGGAGGATGCACGTCCGTTCAAAGGGACGCTGTTAGACCCATTCAAACAGCAAGCTTGTGTCTCAGCTTTCACCGTTTCTTTTCAAGTGATGCTTTGGTAAAAAAAAGAAAAAAAAGAGAGAGAGATCACACAAAGAGGACACATCAAGTACAAAAAAAAAATGGCAGATAAGGACAGCGTGGAGAAATACTTGGAGAACAACCCGCAGTTCGCCAAAGAGTACTTCGACAAGAAGTTGCGTGCCGAGGCCCTGAGCGCCGCATTCTCCGAGCCTCTCGACATCAAGGACACGGCCTCGTTTAAGGATGTTAACTCGGTGCAGGAGGCCGCCATCATCTTCGACCTGCTCCAGGAGCTCCAGAAGCAGACGGCCGTCGAGAAGAACCTCCACAAGGTGCTGCAGAGAACCGCTCTCATCTTGCAGGCCGACAGGGTCAGCTACTACATCTGCCGCTCCAGAAACGGAATCCCGGAACTCGCAACCTGCCTCTTCGACGTGACCCCGACCTCCAAGTACGAGGCCAACCTGGTGAACCCGCAGAGTGAGATCGTGATCCCCACCGACATGGGGATAGTGGGCCACACAGCCACGTCCAAGAAGCCCCAAAACGTTCCGGACATTACCAAGGTGAGATGGTGCCAGGAGTTAGCTTTGGAGAGCTCTCAGAATGCATGAAGATTTAGACAAAATCTTCACATTTACAATAATTTAACTGTTCATGGCATTATTTTTTTTTAATAATACCAAAGAAGATATCTCATTTCTGTCAGGCTTTGAAAAATTATAGTGCAATTTTTGCACAATAAAGAAAAAAAAAAAAAAAAAAAAAAAAAAAAAAAAAATAAAAAAAAAATTTAAAAAAATATTTTTGACGAAACTCTTTTGACATATTTTTTTTTTTGCT